CTTTAATTAGGTTATTAAACTTATAGTTAAAGTTTTTATTATTTTTAGTAATCTTTTTTAAGTCTTTAGCATTTATAAGCTTAATAACTAAGGCTTTAATAATATTAATATTTACTTTTAAAAACTTTAGCTTAAACTAGTTTTTAATAACTTTTAATACTTATTTTATTATTAATACTTTAAGCTAGCCTTTAATTTTAGGTTTTTTATTTTTTACTTTGCTAACATGTAGTTTATTAGTATTTAAGTTTTTATAATATATTTTATTTATTATATTTATTACTTATATAATATAAGTGCCTATATAATATTTTAAGATTTTATAATAATAATAATTATTATAAGGCGGGGGTGCTTAAACTAAAAGTATTAATATATTATTAAATAGGTATTATTATTTTTAGTATTATTAAAGCAGGTACTATTAGGGCGGGTATTACTAAAATAAGTATTATTAAGGCAAGTATTACTAAAGGGCGGCCCTGGTTTAAAAGGGGATATATATAATAATTTAATATATAAATACTTAAGGGGGCGGTACCTATTATATATTTAAAGGGTAGGAAGGCTATTATGCTTACTAGGTTATTATAGCTTTAAGGTTTAGCTATAATACTTTAATAATTTTTATAATTTTTTAAAGGTTATTTTAGGCAGGGCTAAAGTGCCTTTTTTATTAGCTTATAATTTTATTAAATAAAACTAGGGGTTTTTTAGCCACTAAAATACTAGCTATATATCTAAAAATATTTAAAATATAATTTTTTTTTTTAGCTTTTTCTTTTTAAAATATAATAATTTTTTTATTAACCTTAAAATATAGTTTTTTTGCTATTAGGGTATTTAATATATACTTTTTAATTATTTTATATTTAAGCTAGTAGTAGCTCCCTATCTTTAACTTAAATTTTTTAAGGATTTATTAGGCTAGGTTACTTAAAAAGCCTTAGATTAACTAAATATATTAAGTATAATTATTTAATTTACTAATTTATATAACTTAAGCTAAAATTATATTATATTTTATAATATAATTATAAAGGTTATTAATCCACGTGCGTGGCTAGCTTTTAAATTTTTTAAAATATTAATATAATTACTTAATTTAGTATTAATTAAGGCACTAGTATTTATTTAGTATAATAATTTTTAAAACCTTTTAGTTTTATTTAGCGTACCCTTTTAGGTTTTTAATAATATTTAAAATATTATAATTATAGTAGCCTGTTATTTAGGTAACTTTTTTTAGTTTATTATAAATATTTTAGTTTTTATAGGCTTGTTTATATACTTTTAAAAACCTAGTTATATTTTTATTATTAAATATAAGTACGCCTAAAATACTAAAAATTAGCATGGGGGTAATTAATAAAAGGTAATATTTTTTTTTTACCATGCCTTTTATATTTTTAAAGGTACTAATATTATTATTATAAAAGTTATTAAAGGGCGTGTAAATTTTATTAATAATATTACTAGGCTTACCTTTAGCCGCGGGGAATATATTACTAAAATTTTTAATTATAGGCATGGGTATTTATTTAATATTTTTACTTTTTTTTTACTTAAAAACTTAAATACATGGGATATTTTTATTTAATAATAAAAGTTAGCAAGCAGGTAGTAAGCTTATATATATTAAAAATTTTAAATAATTTTTTAAAGGGCTAGGTTTATAAATACTTAGTAAAAAATAAAATTTTATAATTATAAAAAAGGACTTATAAAATATTTTTACTTTATTATTAAGCACCTAGTATAACTACCTGGGTAGGCCCTTGGGAGCTTTACTTTAAATTTATTAGTTATATTTATATTAAATTTATTAATTTTATTATTTAATTTATTATATTTATTAAGTAATTAATATTTTTTAGGATTACTAGGTTTATTATTTTTTTAAAAATTACCAGGGCGCTTTATGCGTGGCCTACTTATTTTATTTACTAGGTTTAATTTATATTTATTATTTAATTTTTTTTAACCTTTAGGCCTTAATAGTTCTTTGCCCTTTTTTTTAATAATTTTAAGTACTTAAGTTACTAAGGCATAGCTATTAATATTAAAAACTCTTAATTTAAGGGTTTGGCGGGCGCCCTTTTTACCTTTATAATATTAAAAAAACATGCCCTGTGTTAGTTATTAATATATAAAAAGGTAATATTAAAGTATAAAAGCTAAAAAAGCTAAATAATAATAATAACCTAGGACTAAATAGCATGTAATATAGGTAAAAATAATAATAAAAAAAAACATATATATTAAGGTAAATAATAAACTAGGTATAGGAGGCCGGTAGCAAGGCTATAAGTACTATAGGAATCAATATTAGGGTGCAACCCCACTACAGTATTTTAATTACTAGTAAAAATATTAAACTTTTTAGCTTTAGTAAATATACTAACCTAATAGTTATATTAATTATTAATTTATTTTTTAATAAAAAGGCTTTAATAAATAGCTACCTTTTTTTATTTTACCTTAATTTTTATTTAATAGGTAATATTAAATTATATATAACACTTTATAAAAAGTTAAAATATTATATATAAATATTTTTAGCTATATAAAAGTTACTAGTAAAAGCTAAATATAATTAAAGTTATATAAGCTATTATTATACCTAATAAAGCTTTATATTTTTTTTAAATAAGATATTTTTTTATAGTAATATAAAATCTGCCTTATTTATTAGCTATTAAATAACTTATTTAAAGTTTATTTTTTTTAAAAATATTAAAGCAGTAATTTTTAAGAATTAACCTTAGGTTAATAAAAATAAGTAATAAGTTTTTATTATTAATAAAAAAATTAATATAGTTTTATATTATAAGGCCTATAATTATTAATTTAATAATTTAATACTATGGGCGCTATATATTAAGGCTATTTAAAATAATAATATTAAACTAGGTGTTTACAGGTAAAAATTAAAAATTTTTTATAATATATTATATAGTAAATAAGAAGAACTTTAAAAGTTTAAATTTAAATAATAAATAGCTTTAAAAATAACTATATAAATAATATTTAAAAAAGTAAAATATAAGCCAGGCTTATAACTTTTAAAATTATAAATATTTTAGGCAGGAATTAATTATATAAAATTAAAATAAAAATTAAAAAGTAAATAAAATATAAAATTTTTTAGGATTTAAAATAAATAAAAATATAAAAGTTTAATAACTAAATATAAAAAAATTTAAGCTATATTTATCCCTTTTTTTTGTATTTTATTTCCTAATTAAGCCGTGAGATCCGGCTAAAGTTAAAGGTTAATTTTTTTCCTATCTTTGGAGGTTAGTTGGAGTTGTCCAACTAAGTTTGCCGCGGAGATCCAAGGGATCTCCACCTCTCGTCTGACATTCAGGCACAGGTATTAAGATAGGATTTCTTATATATCTTTTGAGACAAAAGACCACTTTCTAGCCTCTATCGTAGCACGATGTTTTGATTCCATCTAACTGTTGGTCTGCGGGCACTCGCGAGTACCCGCTCACAACGCCGGCAGCGCAAAATATATATAGACGCATTAAAAACTACCAAGGAAGAATAAAACAAGGAAAGTATATTACAACCAACAAAAGAAATCCAAAAAGAATGCACCCAAGCCCTAAAAGAAATTTATCAAGGATACGCCATCTGCGGCGCACTCTGATACCCCGCCAGCTCAGGTCTAGTCCGCAGCTCCATCTCCTTCTCCTCCTGCACAAGCGTACAGCACCCACACCAGAACGTCGCGCAGCAGTCTCCGCAGCAGGAGCCATCAATCCCGTGTTTCTCGCGCATCTCGCTACGTCGGATTGTCTGGAGGATCCATTGCGACCAGCAGAGCGTGAGGCCAGTGAAGATTATGCACTAGCGGAGATGAAAACGTTAATTTTCTGATCAGAGTACTTGCGGCATGGTGGGTGCATACCTCGGAGTTAATGCTGCTGTAGCTTTTCAATGTTGGGTCTTGGGCTCGAGCTTGGGTGCGGCCGAAGGTGAGGCAGGGGAGGCAGCATGTTAGGAAGCCTGGACAATGGTTGCTTCGATTAGCGTTCAAGATCAAGTAGAATATAGAGCTAAGGATGTGCGTACAAAGCGAGCCTGGTGAGCAGCAATCGAAGAGCGAGTAATTCCAATCTTTGTTGTGGGTGATATTTCTGGCTTCAGGGGAAACGTCTTGTTGGTATGCCGGGGGTTCGATGGGCGTTGAGCGGTACGTTTTCTCGTATGCGGCCATTGTGAGAGCTCGAAGAACGAAGGGCGGAGTGGACAAGGGAAGGTGGTTGACGGCTTAGGTAGGCTTCGCAGAAGAGAGCGACAAGGGTCAGTAAGCTACAGATATTTTGTTGAGGAAACATGCCATGCTTTATATCTGGAGGCGGCTGATACCCGTTCCTGACGCTATAGATCCAGAGGGCAGTTCGTGTTCGTGTTCAACGGCCGATTACCACGTGCGGTTTAGGCCCAGGGGTGGGGATGGCGATCATCTGCTCGAGTTAGAACTTCTGAGTCATGACTTGTGACTAAGTGCTTGGAAAACCTTTCTACGAATCAGACTACGATCCATCCAATACTCCCTGAAACCTATCGAGTTATTATTGGCCAGCCTCATGGTTCGACGGGGCCTCCAACGGCTTGATTCAGCCCTAGGCTCTTAAGGCTTGAGCAGCTGGAGGTCTGGAATAGGTAATCAACGCGAACGGAGTAAGCACAAAAGCTTGATTTGGGCCAAGACTAGCATGTGGGCGACGAATCATGGAGATAGCCATGGTGGCGAGAGAGTGTGGGATGAAGGGTTGGCTGGATGAAGTAAACGAAATGAAAACTAAAGCCAACCACCTCAAGAACTATAGTAGGTTTGCGCGGTTAGGTATAGGGGGTGGTCCGTTGTATATGTAGTCTGTCTAGCGTGCTATCCGTGTACCTCTAAGCAATGCAAACCCAGTCCCGGAAAACCATCTAACCAACACTATATAATCGAATATATAAGAACACAATCATGGAAAGTCTTACCCAAAGTCCGGAAAAGCATCCCACCCAACCTCATTACCATCCTCACCTGTAGCTTCCTGCTCAGCTTCTTCCTCAACACACCGCGCACACCCACACTTGAACCGGAACAAGCTCTGCAGACGCCCCCGGCGCTCCTGAAGCCCAACATACTGCGTCAGATCAAAATACGATATGCAGCATTCCTCGCCTGCGGCGATGTCTCGTCCCGCCGTGAAGACCATGCGGCCTTGCTCATCGGGTTTGTGAATGATCTATACGAACGCACATATCAGCTGGTGATCTCCCGAGGAGAAGATAGGGTTAAAGGCCACCAAAAGCATACATTTGGACAGCAAGAATGGTTCGCGATCGAGGCGCGGGGATATACCGCCGCCCCGAACTGCTCCCCTCTGTTAGCGGTCGGATCAGGAGGTGGAAAAACGCCTGTTTCCCGCGGGTAGAGGCCGAACGAGTTCGCCTCCTCTTTGCATATTAATGCCAAGACATCGGTGTTTGGGAGGTTGTGCGGGAGTGCTGAGCTGCTGAGATATTTCTTGACAAGGACTGTCCATTCGCGAACTTGTGCGTGTGACCATGTTTCGGTTGTGCCGCAGAGGGCGTCGATGGCGGCCCAGCCGGATTTGAAGCGCGATAACGATAAATGCGATTGCTGCGATTCTTGATCGTTGTAGTCGGCCGTGGCTGTATCATGGCTTTGGGAAGATTCCGTACATCGCCTGGCCAGCGCTCGGACGATTAACCAGAGCATCCCGAAGTTATAGTAGCCCCATTTTGAGCGCAGGGATGCGGTGTATTTCGCCAGCCAGGTGCATTCGAAATTATGCCTTGCTTTGTCTGTATCGCGGCAATCCTTATTGCACCAGATTACGTCTTTGTTGCAGCGCTTTGGGCAATGCGTTCCTTTTTCTTGGGGAACGGTGGTATTGCATTGGGGATTGTTGCAGATGATATTCCCAGAGCTCGTTGCGGCATCTACGTCTGAGATCGGGATGATAGCGTACGGCGGATCGATAAGCAGGACCTCGCCTCGTTGGATAGGTTGAGCGGCCTGCAGTTGGCGGCCCTTGTTGGGGTTCACGCTCTGTGCCAGATGGGGGTGAATCCAAGGGAGCATGGCTATACATGCTCATAGGCTAATGTTTCGGACAATCTCGACGTCGTCACGTCAGGGTCTGGGTCTGGGTATCGCTGGGTTTATCATATTTTCTGCTGCGGAATGCTGGCGGACGATGTGCAGAATTCTTTGTTAATGGAGCGACCCACTTGGTGCCATGTACCGGTAAGTGGAATGGGCCTCAATCGGCCGTCGGGAGGTTCTGGACTCAATTAAGAAGTTAATTGCCACGCTCCATGACGCTATACAAACTCGCGTGGTCATGATAGATTATTTGATAGGGACGCGACTTCAGGTCACTCTCATGGTTCCCGCTTGGCGAATATCCGTGATAGGTTTGGCGCTGTGCGCGGGCCGGGGAGGATAAGCTTAATGGCGATCCAAGGTCCGAAGCATGTGGCACACGTGGATGCTGACACAGATAAAAGAAGCATTCGAAAATGGTAGCATTTCTGGTATATGCAAAGAAGATCAGAGTGTGATTGAAGCTAATGCAAGCTACGCGTGGTTATGCTGTGACTGTGTGCAGTGCGTGCGATGGAATCACTTGCTGCCGCATGCCTGCAAGTTATTGCTAGTTCCTGGTGGCGACCACAAACAATCGAGGGTAGCGCAACAATACCCTTCCATCGACGGACTTGGGGTATGCTTTCTGAATACGACCTAAATATGCCTTCAGGAAAGCATCCCGATCCGCCGGCGAGAGAGGGTCAATGAACGGCCGCAAACCCGTCCCCTTGACCCATTCGACGACAGCCTCATGGTTCTCAAGCGAATGGTTGTAGTATGTATGCCAGATGTTCACATCAGCGCAGAGAGGCTTCAGTTCATCGTAGATCTCCTGCGGAGATTGGAAGCTGTCTCGTACAGCGGATTGCACTTCCGACCAGGCGCCGTCTGCAGCGGTTTCTTGCATCGAGACGTGGGACGGCTCGGCCAGATTATCCGGAACTTGAAAAGCAAATACTCCGCCTGAAGGCTGCAGTTGCATGAGGCGTTTGATGGTTTTCAGACGCTGGCCGCGCGGGAGCCACTGGAAGACGGCGTTCGAGAAGAAGAGATCGACCGGTTCCTGTGGGGTGTATGTACTGAGGTCATCGACAGTAAACTCGACGCGAGGAAGTGTTTCACGGGCTTTCTGAATCATATCTGGAGACGAGTCCATCCCAGCAACGCAAGCGTTTGGATATTGGGATAGGAGCACGGCCGTTGAATTGCCAGGTCCGCAGCCCAAATCCACGATGTTGCGCGGTGAGTTGAGAGGAATCTGGGCGAGGAGATCGCGAGAAGGCCGAGTGCGCTCGGCCTCAAACTTGAGGTACTGTTTGGCACTCCAGTCAGTCGCTGCCATGGTTCGTGAAGAATGAAATGCACGAAATGTAGAACAAAGCAGCCGTGCTGGAGGTCGTGTAACGAAGGACATGATGCAATGATGCAGGGACAATGCAGGCTGCTGGCTGTGCTCTTCTGTAAGTAATAGCCATGGCTGCCATGGGAACTGGCGATATCGGCGATTGAGGTGCGACCGGCGGAAGATGACTCAGCAGCACGTGCTGCTGCCTTCTGGCCTGCAGGCTGAGATGACCCCGATGACAACCCTCGACTCGGGCTCTCAACACCGCGAAAGCCGACTGCATCTCAGCCTGCCCCTACCTACAGCTTCCAGGGAACCTAGTTCTAAGAGTCCAAACTACTGATTCAGATCTGGCCCAGCGCCGTCGCGAATCTATCATGTCTGAGCGTCGGAGACCGCCCTCGCGTTGACAAAACAGCCAGTGTGCCTCATGCCGCACGGATCGCGTCCAACTCCGTGACGAATAAAGCTTGGCTGTTGTTGAAATTCAGGAGATTCGGGAGCTGATTGGCCCATGCAACTGGCATTATTGCAATAAATCTGCAGATTGCGATGGATCGCCTGCTGAAAGGCCTGCAGCCTGGCCTCTCATAGCTTTGCTTACTGGATGCCAAGAATCTGGTTCAAATCGCCCATCGTGCCTGCAGAACCGAGATCGACCGACCTGATCTACATCTATATCTTCGTCAGCAATCAGCACTACCGACGGCTCGAGTAGTGCTCGGGCTATGCCGACTGCTATCGAATTTTCACAGATCGAAGAGATTCTCACTCCGAAGCACGGTCCTAGTCAATATATCGAGAGCCCCATAGCGCTAGCGGACGTGGTGCTCTGGAAAAGTCAGGTGGAACAGCATTCATGATGTAGGGTATGCTCGCGCTGTGAAGGATGGAAGAATAGCTCAGCTCGCCACTGTTTAAGCAACACCCGGTCGGGTACGACCTGAAGGAGGTGGTGCGCGCTAGATGGTCTTGATATCTGGTCACTGCTTCTGTATTGCACCAGCTCTGAGCAGACTGAGCAGCGATTGGCAATCCTACTCCGGCAAACGGTAACTGGCTTCGGGTCAGACGCCGGCCCAAGCTTAGTATCTGCACCGGCTGTTATACTGGCCTCAATGGTTGCATCTGCCTATCTTGTCACTCACTTTACGGCTTTTCTGCACGTTATGCGCATATGACGCATGTTATAATCATTTAGGTCAATGTTTCGGTTTCACTCACGGCCTCGAGCCGGACTCGATTTTCCTCCCCATCACGCATGGTCCTCCGGTTTCGGGTCATCCCCAGCGCCTCCATACGCCAAAGCAGCTAACTACGCTCATAAAGGTGCTGCTATACAGGGGCCACTAGTTGGACGGCGCCTCATAGGTAAAGCGGAGCATTGCGACTGCCGATGCTTAGGATTGACGCTACGATAAAGCAATGTGATGACTTGCATGAAATTCGCTGAGGCTTGCGGAGTTTGCCAGCCTCGAGGTATCCCACAAGGGACCACAGGTGTTCTACTTGATGGTGCAGATTTTTGACTTTCAGAAACATGAAGCTGTCATGACCCAGCACTCCAACCGTCGCGATTCTATCAGCCCATCACTAAAGCCATCCTAAGATACGAAGGGGGTATTCTGGACTCCCCAGCTTCCGTTCAACTGTGATGTTGGAACATAGACACGCGATTAAATGCCTTCTAGGCAACCGATGCTGGAAGAAGCACCCCCCTGCCAATTGACCTCTCGTCCAACCGCCACCACACCTTCCAAGATTCTCACGGTGTTGGTGGCCCACAATGCCGTTCCAGGCCTCATAAGCAAGCTTACTTGGTCATGATTCGCGGTCTATCGTGGGACTAAGTCCCAGCCTTTACAGCAAAGCCAGGACTAACTCCCACTGCGGGATATATCTCGTACTCGGTTGTCCTGGCCATCTACCGCTTGAATCTCCCCATCCTTGTGTAATGTCGACGGTCGATTTGAGGAGACCTGCACGTGTACCATACAGCCTAAGAATCGCTTGATCTCTAACAACACGGAAAATGAACCTGGCTATGGTAGGCTGTCGGGTTCTATTGCGGGGACCAAAGCCAGTAGTCACCATCCAATGAGGTTTCTTGTTCGGAGTCCTGAACAGGAATACAAACCCTGATTTCTCGCTGGGCTCTGTATTACTGTGATGAACATACAGATGACGAACCATTCCTGACGCAATATGATGCTTGCTGCAGCTGGCGCTTCCAGTCAAGTCCAGTACATGCCAGGTCCCGGTAATGTAAACCTCGCACCTCATTGAATGAATCAAGCTCAGCAGGAATGCATGCCTCGAGTCGATCGCGGTGCTCCCGAGCTCGTCCCGCCGCAATGACAGCAGGAGCAGCTGATGTGGGTCATGATCTGCGTGGTAGTTATCCACCTCCCTCGCTGATCCTCTGCATGAACCGCTGCGCAGTTGAGGCTGGCTGACGCCCATGGAATCAGAGCGCTTGAATGCGCTTTACATGACCCACCTCGATCAGATCCGTTCATCGAACAAGAAAATGGCAGCCCAAGAACTGGGTTAGAACAAGCAAAATAAGGAAAAGAAGCAGGGCAGATCAGTCGCTGACGATTGACCTATGATCTCTGCAACTGCAGATCATGGCGCCATGGCAGTAAGTGGCTGGCGCTGTACCAATCAAAGATATGTGATTGAGTCCTGGCGACGATGCGAGGGGTATGGATGCTGCGATCAAGCTTATAAGAACTTGACCTGGCTCGTTAGTTCACCTATTCATTGTTCAACTCTTCAACCGCCTTCTCTCCAATCCAGCGCAACATCACGACCACAACAGCAAATGGCATCTCCAGATCACACTGAACACGGCCCTTTTCCCATGCTCGAGATGGCTGACATGCCCGCTCCTATCTTCTCGCCTCCCCCTACCACCGCCAACCCCGCAGCTGTACCTCCTCGACGAGATGACCGCCCCCTAAGAAGCTCGTGCGGCCAGTGCAACCAGGCCAAGGTCAAATGCTCGAAGGAAAGACCAACCTGCCGACGCTGTGCTACGAGGAATACACCCTGTGTCTACAGCATTTCATTGCGCGGGGTAAAAAGACCACGACCTCGCCCACAAGCGGACCAGGCCTGCCCGCCGAAGGAAAAGAAGAGAACCATCTCAATCCCATCACCAATCTTCTCAGAACCTCTACCTACAACCACCTTCGACTTCCCACCACAGCCGACATGCCTACCCGACCTAGGTAGCAGCGACATCTACCCTGACGGCTTCGTAGACGACGACCTGGCTGGATTCCTCTCAATGAACCCCTTCGACGCGCCTCTCCCCGATCCAACAACATTCCCCTTCCCATTAGACTTCCCAGACTCACAACCCGCTCCTCCCATTCAACCAGTGGTTGCACCGCAGATGGCCCTGCGTCCGATGACGATCCCTCTCAGCCCCATCTCACCCCCCGGCTCGCGGGACGGACACTGCCAGCTCGCAACCGTCCCCACCGGAACACCCTGCCTCAGCTCGCCAGTCCAAGCGCCAGTCCCAGCAACCTGCTGGTGCCAGCAAACCATCAGCTTCAAGCTAACGGAGCTGAGCATGCCGAAACCACCAAACAGCACCTTGATCCTCGACGACTTCCTCACCGAGCACCGCGCCAATATGGCCCTCTGCACAAGCGTTCTCCACTGCGCAGACCCACACCATACACCGGGCATGCTGCTGCTCACGCAGATGATCGCCCTCCTGCAGTACATGACCGCTGCCTTTGACCAGATCCTCCCACGAGGCGACACGAGCGTGCAGCAGCAGCAACAGCAGCAGCCGCCTGCACCGCCGCCAACTCCCGTCTCGCGCTCAACGTCAGCATCTACATCGCCCATCGGCCACCGCAAAGAACAGATCACTCAAGCAAACACGCTACGCGCCGAGCTCGCGAAACTAGGCGTCCTCATCCAAGAATTCGATCGCAGATACTGCACCCTAGATAACCCCGGTTTCGGCGACGCCACATTTCTCCTCTCGCCGCTATTCGCGAACCTCCTGTGGAAGACGCAGGCGAAGTTTGACGCCGTGAGGTCCTGGATGCCTTGGCTATAGCCCGCCTCATCGGACTACGTCTTCCATTATACCCATTCCCCTATCTACTTTGGATTCTCAGTTGCTGGGCGGCTTAAGTTTTCGATGATCTACTCCTAATCCTAATGGAATTAATTTCCGGTCCACCCCCTTTTCTTCGCGATTTCTGAACTAGACAGACTATGGTCGACTACCGATACACAAGACAATAGAACCAAGTACCACCAAAGAGACATGAATCCTTGCTTACCCATCCACCACACAATAGCAACCGCTCTGGAAAGTAAGCACCGCAAAAGCAAAAGAGTAACGAACCATCATCATAAACTGCTCGCATCTACGGCGTAGTGGCACCATCGAACCTCGCAGTATTGTGCCCTGTACAGTGTACCCCGTGCTACAGCGTACAACAACGGCACCGGACAACCGGAACCACACCGGCAGTGGTGCCGAGATGCGACGTGCGACGTTCCACAGCCTACGGTCCATGACGTGCCCGTGCCCGTGCCCGTGGGCCGTGAGACATAGACGTCCAACGTCGTACGCAAAAAGCAATTAGAGATAGCCGGCGTCTTCCATTCGCTATCATGATTCACGGGTATCTGGTCAGCCTTGCTGAGTTGCTATCTGGACTAGATGATAGATCTAGCATAAGCACAGATCCAGCCCGGCGCATCTCCATCTCCATCTCCGGAGTTTCGCCTCGCATTGCCCGGAGTTTTGGGGCGCCGGGGCCGATGCCTGCACTTACGGAGTCCAACTACAACGAACTTGGGTTTTAGGACGGGAGGTAAGCCGATGATTAGGTAGAGACTCTCTGGAGTCTGATCCCTACAGGCTGGGACATTGCGTGGCCGATCGCATTTCGCATTCGTGCCGCCGTCGTGGTGCGGACGGGCCCCACCAATTATTGGAAATGTTTTCCGTCGCGATGCGCGGCAAGGCGAATCGATCGTGCGCCTGCAACTGCGGCGGCAACTGCAGGGATGAGCTTGCGGTGAGGTGGACACGAGGCGGGATGACTGTGGCCGTGTCTCATTTTTGGGTCGAGCGCTCGAGATGCAATCAAGGGTCCATTGCCCCTGCGGCTTTAAATGGGCGTTGTGGTGAGCTGAGCTGAGCCCTAATTATTGAGGCCCGTCGCTGCGAGGCCACTGCTCCAAGGAGTACACCAATCCGTTGCTGTTATCTACGGAGTGCCTCGAAATAGGCACCGGTCAATCTCCAAATAGGTTAGAGATAACTTGAAATAATTCATTCTCTGATTCAACCTGGAAGCTATGGAAAGCCCGTGGTGTAAAAATAAGCAGTTCTAACAATACTCACGCAGTCACAAACTCATCGACCGTAGCCTAAACCTACTCCACCAACGAAAACCACTTGTTGAACACGTTGTCCGGATCGTACACCTTCTTCAGCTCAACGAGCCGCGCATAGTTGACGCCGTAGACATCGCGCGCATGGGCAGACAGGTGGTCGTAGTTCCCATACTCCGTAACGGGCCCCTCCGCTGGCCGACCATGGGTGGCCCGCTCTACGGCGACCAGATCAGCGATATGGCGAGACCAATACTCCATGCGCACGTCGTCCTGCTCGTCGTTCCAGTAGAGGCCAATCATGACGTTCTGGACGCGGCCTCGGTGGCCGTGAGCCGTCGCTGTGACTGGAACTTCACACCATTTGTCGGGCTTGTAGAATTCGAATTCGATTATCGACCGATCTGACCCTGGGATCTCGGCTTGAAGCCTGTCCATTTCGGGAACTATCACCTCCCGCAAGAATTCCGGCCGCAGTGGTGTCGTGAAGGCGGCGCCCTTAGACACGTTGCGACCACCACGCTTCGCCTCTGCGGTCATCATATTGTTGACTGACGCGTACGTCTGAGCCATGGTAGTGTTCACAATCGGACCAAGATCAAGCAAAGGCTTGAAGACGGCCTGAGCCGACTCAGCGTCGCCATAATGGAACACGACGGCCATGATTCCCACCTCGCGACCCTGCCTCGAGAAGGGGTATCTCGACAACTGCACAACCATAGCCGAGTCCCCATTCGTACTCTCAACAAGCCTATTCCCAAACCCAAAAACAGCCTCCAGCTGATCCAGCGTGAACCCCAGCAACCCAGCCCAGACAGGATCCCGATGCTCATGAGCCAGAAAGACAAACTCAACAACAACACCAAAGCACTGCCCAGCACCGCGGATCGCCCAGAAAAGATCGGAGTTCTCGGTCCTCGAAGCAACGACAATACTCCCATCGGCTAGCACAACGGTCGCCGCAAGTAGGTTATCGAGAATAAGCCCATACCGCGGAGCAAGCCAGCCATACCCCCCTCCCAGCGTGATCCCGCCAACTCCCGTATCGTTAACGATCCCCTCAACCATCGCCAGATTCTGTCCGACGAGCGCATCATCGACATCCTTCCAGCGGCAGCCGCCGCCGACCGTCACAATCCTCGTCTCCAACTCCGTCACAACATGGTTGATACGAGCCAGATCGATCACCACGCCGCCATCGCACGAGGAGCCGGTGCTCGTTGTATGTTTGCCGGCGGCGACCGCGAAGGAGACCTTATATTTGACGCAGCTGCGGACGATCGCTGAGACGTCCTCTGGGGATTCTGGGAATACAACGAGTGCCTATGGGAGAGGGTATGGTCAGAGACGCACGCAGCTATTGGGGACAGGAAACTCACTGCAGCGTTTGGGACCGCGTCGTTCCACCGCAGAATGCTCTCTGCGTAGCCGCTAGCGCCTGGGGTGAGAATCGAGCACTTCAAGACCGCGCGAAGCTCATCAGTTAGCAACTGGATGTCGGTTGGAACGCTCATTCTGGGTTTGCTGGGAATGCTGGAAGTAACACAGAGATGGTTAGGGATAGCGGGGCTCAGTGGAACGATTGAGACGGAGCCGTGACTGCAAAGGGGCTGAACCTTGCTAAGGATCCAAGATTGAACGGTTTGTTGGGATAAGTTGGCGTATGTTGGGGACCGCTCGCTGCTTCCTGGACGGCCGAGCTGTCATTCTTCTCGTCCTAAGAAGGCACGGTCGGGAATAGGTGCGGAGATACGACAGTCCGGGAGATTGAAGTCGCAATGGTACGTCTCACTGCGCACGGCTTGCGGTCGCTCTACGACTGTACCTAAATTCGTTTCGGAAACCACCGAAGACTAGACACGACAAGCATTTAATTAAGGGTAATAAGTAAGTAGTACATACAATTCGATACAGAAACAAGTCAATGGCAAAATCACAGCTCCTCCTCCTCAGCCCCATGCACCCCATTCGTCGCAGTAACAAGGTGGCTCTCGCTAAAGAGCTGCCAATCCTTAAAGTCAACATCCACCTGATCCTCATTGCTCTCCGCCTTTCCAGCACCAAATCCCTTGAGATCCCATTTCTCCACACCCTCAAGGCCGTTCAATGCCTCGGGGTACTCGCGGAAGAGGTCTGCGTTCAGACGCTCGTACTCGCTGTAGTCCTTGGGCCAGCCGCCAAGACGCTGGATAGCGAGCTTGAAGAGCTTGAAGTGCAGACGGACCTGGTCGTCGCCGAGAGAGGCGTTCGCGAGGTCGTTGTCCAGGTCCAGGACGGACCCGTCGGTGCTCATGCCGCCGTCGTAGCTGCCGTCCATGTCGGCGAATGTGGGGTCGCTCAGTGCACGGAGGATGTTCTCGTGCAGGGCCGCCGCGCGCTTGTAGTAGCGGTTGGCCAGCTCCTGGGCGTCCTTGTGCGCCTGGTAGCGCTGCCCGACGCCGGTGTAGAGCTGGGAAAGCAGGACGGACATCTGGAGGGTGTTGGGGTGGCGGGCGCCGTGGACGCGGCGGCAGTTGTAGACGATGTCTTCGGCGAGACGGACGGCGGCGGTGGTGTCGCCGACGAGGTAGCGGACCATGGTGTAGAGGCGACCGAGGGAAAGGGTGACGTACGGATCCCAGTCGCGCTGGGCCTCGCGGCTGTGCCAGATCGAGGTGAGGACCGCCGCGAGAGTCTGGTAGTTGGCCTGCTCGCCGAGAAGGCCGATGACGGTGTTCAAGTGCTCGAGGCCAACCTGGGCGAGGTTGATCTTCAGCTCAGCGAGCACCTTGAGGACATCCTGGATAATGGTCGCAGAGATACTGAGCATCTGCTTGCGGGTGCCTTCGTCGAGCTGAAGTCCGCGGCCTGAGACATTGATGCTGAGCGCCAGGACAAATCGGGCAATAGCAGGGGTGCGGTAGCTCTGCTGAGCGGCGATGAACTTGAAGGACGCAAGAGCGAGTTCGCACGCTTCTTCGTACTTGTTCAACTTGACCAATTCGCGAACATGGCTGTTGCTGGCGATTCCGATCGAGCGAACAATGTCTTGCGACTGCCGAGTGCTGAAGTAGCTCATGACCATCGTGGCGAACACTCTAACCTCCGCCGCAGACTTGAATCCAATCCGCTTGCCCTCATTCGCGAGGAAGTAGCTGATGAACTCGTTGGTAACCTCCGTGGCCACCTGCTGGCGGTTGATGGTCTGCAAGAAGTAGTGCAGACGAGCCGCAGATGCACTTGCGGAAAGGAACGAGCTGTTGGACCGGATCAGCTGGTGGAACTCTTCGAAGTAGACAAGTTCAGTGGTCAATGAAGCCAAAATCTCAGTAACAGTAGACGTCTGGCGGTGAAGGTGGTGCTCGAGCTGGGCGAGGAAGATCAGACTCTGGCGGCTCTTGGTTGTGAGATCGAATTGGGATGACTTCACATTAGTCGTATCCTTCCTGATCACCTGGCGATAGACCTCATTGGTCAGCTCGACGGCCTTCTGGGTCTGCTTGGTTGCGATGTAAGAGGAGACAATTGTCTCGGCGGCCTGGCTCAGACGAGTGGTGGAGGTCTCGGAAGAGAGGATTTGGATCGTTGCCTCGTGTAGCTCCTGGACAACCTGCTCGGTCTTGCTCTGCCTGGAGTAGAAGCTGATGACCTCCTTCATTCTCGTGAGAGACTCCTCGTGGGCCCAGCCGTAGCTTTGACGCAGGGTGGTGATGCGTTTCTTCAGCACTCTGACGGCCTGTTCCACCTGGGTCGAGGAAGCGGACTCGGTGAGCTGGGAGTTGGAGAGAATTGCAGACTGTTCCTCGTAGAGAGACTCGAGGGTCGCACGGATCTCATCCAAATGGACTTCAGTGGAGTTGATCTTGAGAAGCTCCTCATAGAGCCGGATAGCTTCAATCTCATAGTGCTTAGACTCCTGGCAGAGTTGTGCTAGCGTCAGAGTCGCCTTGACAGTGATTGATGCAGTGGCACTGAAGACAGCCTTGCACTTCGTTTGGTATTCCACAGTAATCTTGTGAAGGGTCGAGTACTCGGTCCGGACCGCGCGAAGGCACTGCGTGTAGCGGGTGAAAATCCCCTGCACGAACTTCTCATCCTGGAACTTGGGGCTGAGCTTGGGCTGGTGCACCCAAGCAGTGTAGAGGATGTGGCAGTAGTGTAGGGCATCGGAGTAACGTCCTTGGTTCCACAGCTCGGTCGCAACAATGTCCAGAGGCTCCAGAGACTCGGGGTGGTACTTGCCGTCCTTGTTCAAGGCTTGAATGATCTGCTGGTAGTAGTCCAGGAAGATTGGACGAGGGCGAGTGAGCTCAGCCAAGGTTCGTAGAGTTTGGATAACAGTTGCGTGGTCGGAGCCGTAGTGCTTGGTGTAGTCGTTCAACAGCTCCTGGTAGACGCTGATGATAAGCTCGGTCTGGGAAGATCGTTCCAAGAGGCGAAGCAACTCGGACACGTGGTGCTGTCGCAACTTGTCCTCGACGTTGAGTCCGGATCGGACGGCGTAGTAGATCCGCAGTCGGGTATCCTGCTCCTTGGCCAGGCGGTGGCGTGAGTGGTAGCACTGGGCCAGACGCTCAGCAAGGGCCAGCGAGGAGTCCACATGCTTCTGGGGAAGCGTGACGTCCTGGAGCGTTGCCGAGAAGAATGATGCCCACGTGTTGTGCAAGATTCGCTTGATCGTGCGGGAAGCGTGCTGCCAACGGCGCTGGGAAATGTACAGACTAACCAAAGTCTCAGTGCTGCTGTAAAAGCTCTGGTCAAGGGAGGTAGAAGATGTGGACGTCTCCAGAATCATCTCCTCCAAGGTAGACTCGGAAACAACAGAGGCAGAGGTAGCTGACTTCATGACCTCCTGGGAGGTGGAATGTAGCAGTTGCTGAATCTCCTTGTAGCTTGTTGTCTCCGTCCGGCGCGTGCTCTGGTAGTACTCTGAGACGTGCTTGAAGACGCTCAATGCGGTGGTGGAAAGGCCAACGCTCTTCATCACCTTGGCAACCTCCTCCAAGTGAACCGCGGTGGACTCAGAGACAGAGACACTGGTGTGCTGGTAATCCTGCCAGAAACTGGTAAGAACTGAAGAGGCTTCGTACTGTCTCTTCTGTGACCGCAGAAAAACCGAGTAGGCGAGGATAACCTTCATCTTCTTCTCCTCCCACACTGCAGAGGAGTGCACACGAGACTCCCGTGTCGCTCGCTGCCAGAACTCCACGTAGATACGCTCCGCCAGGTCGGCCCTACCGCTCTGAAGATACTTTTCAGCGAGCTTGACCAAAGCTTCAACTTCATAGGACTCCGTGGTCTCCAGCACGTCGTCCTCTTCCTCAAGGTCGAGGCGGAGAATGTACCCACCTTCAGAGGTAGGTTTTCCGCGGCCGACAAGGCGAACATCCAAAGAGCCAGAGGTTCCGGAAGACGAACCATACTCACTGGAGGTGATGGTCTGGATCCTGGCAATAATGGTCTCGGCCTGCTTGGTTTCCTTCACCTTGCGGTAGTGCTCGACAAGCTGCTGCAGGACAGCGATAACCTTCTCGGAGGTGTTGCCGTAGTGTATCTTGTAGCATTCGACGAGTACGAGAAGCATTTCCTCTCGTTTCACCATGATTTCTGTCTTCGTTTCGGTGACGCTTTCAGTGGTGATCTCCAGGAATGTAGTGACCATTTGCTGTGTGACGATGTGTCGCGTGGTCAGCAGCTTCTGGCTGAGGGTAGCCGCCTCGTAGAACAGAGTAAATGTCTCAGGACGATGCACCTGACGCAGCAACGTAGCCAAGGTGATAATAGCTTGAAGTGTAGTCACATTTTCTGAGGTCAAGGTGGTCCGGTAGATGTTGGTAATGGACGTTTGGAATTTCACAAGGTATGGTGTTGTTACATTGTCCAAAATTGACCTGAGAAGGCGGACAACGGTAGTCGATGTTGGCAGTAGCTTTGCGATCTCCTTCGACGCGGTGGGCTCACCGTCCTTGCTGAACACGTTTGTCTGACGGAATACAGGGATCCAGTAGCGCAAGGCGAACTCCAGCAGGGGATATTTGCCTAGAAGCGTCTTCGTCTCATGGTAGTCCAAGGACGGTAAGGACGAAGGCTCATGCTCTTCGGTCATGCTGGTCTTAATGTAGACGAGCAGTCTTGTGAGGAGGTCGGCGTGACGGTCCTTGACGGACGGGATGAACTTGCCCTGAGTAAAGACGTCCACAACTGCATTGCGAATAAGGCCATGGCGCAGGGAGAAATAGTCGTACTCAAGGTACACGAGCGAGTTGAATGGTTTCAGAGCGTGCAAAGTATCGACGCGTGCGTCAGAGATTGTTTGCTTCTCGGTGTTGATAGAAGCTAGAGCAGAGAGCTCCTGCACGTGCAACGGGCGCTCAGCAGTTGCAAGCCATAGCAGCATCAGTTTGGCTTCGGTAGTAACCTCGGGCTGCTGCAGGGAATGAAGCACAAAGTCATTGACAGTTGGCTTAGCGGAGAGGATAGTGTCAATTGCTTTGCGCAACGTTTCAGCGGTCTGCTCTCGGCGAACACGTTTCGTGATGAGTTTGGCTGTAAGGAACGAGCTCTTGGAAGCCGCTGCGATACGTTCAACGACGGTTTCTTGCTCGATAGATGACAGACTCTTAAAAGAGTGACTGTCACCGAATAGACCACGAACAACAGCAGAGATGTCGTCGAAGATGATATCATCGGTGATGCGAACACGAGCCTGGCCAGGTACCTCAGGGGGGTTGCGGGCACCAAGCGTTATCAACTTAACGTTGGATGCCTTGCTTGAGGCTCGGGTCAGCCTCTGTAGCAACCTGTCCTCTCCACACGTGGCCTCGTCAACACCGTCCACTACTAGCACCAGCTCTTTGGCGCCTCTGAGGGCGGAGCAGAGGGCCTGATCGACAGCGTCCCAAAGGAGATTGTCGTAAGCTTCGTAATCTGCCGTGACTCTGCTTCGATGCAGAACCTCGCTGAGAATGCGGAACAGTTGCACATTACCGATACGCTTCTCAAACAACTGGGACAAAATTGTCTTCGCGATCGCGAAGGAGCTGGTTTGTCCAGGGATCCTACCAGCTAAACAGATATGTCAGCAATCTCCACGAAAGGCACAAAGACAGAATGGGCACATACTGATGGGTACAAGGAGAGTCTGGTACGAGACACCGCCATGAGGGTGTTGAAGATGGTCGACGATGACAGAAGCGAGAACCGTCTTGCCAGATCCTGGCTGGCCAATGATGCTAAGATGCTTCTGCTGAGTCTTCAGGAAGCGAGTCAAGTAAGGACCCGCCCAAAGACATGTGAGCTCCTCGCGATCTTGGGCCAGTTGCGAGCTGTGATCAGCGATACTGCCAACTACATGGTCTTCCGGAGCAAGCCAGGCTCGAATGGCCTTTACCTCGGACACTGCATATGGTCGTCAGTGATTGATCTGATTACCCAAGAGACTTTAACTTGCCTTTATCTCCATCCAGGTTCTCTCGGAGAAGCTGGTGTCTCCACATGGACTCCGCAATTCTCTCACATCGCTGCTGGAACGTCTCGATCTGACCTGGGAAGGTACGGTAAATGTTGACAGATACCGAAGCAGTGGTCATCCCTCGGATGGCCTTGTGGAAGTGGGTCGAGACGCTTGCAACGAGAGTGACGAGGTCGGAAAGAGCGAGGATGAGCTGTTCCTGAATTTCCTGGGATACCCCAAAGAGTTCAGTACGCTCTAGGAGGTTGACCAGGGTCATCGAGATGCTGTAGAAGAAGCCGAAGGAAATCATCAACGCGGCAGCATTCTCTCTGCCAAGCTATTACAGGGAGTGTCAGCAAGGGTAATCTTTCACATTACAGTAGGGATATGTGCATACCTCAAGGAGCAGCGCGCAGTAACCATACGACAGCTGGGCAGCGAGGTAGCTGTCACCGGCGAACTGTTCAATCGCCATATCGAAGGAGTGGAGACGATCAATAAAGAGCTGAGCCCAGGCAAGCACTTTATCGTAGTCGCTTCCCTCGGGCGGCAGCAGGCTCATGCGCTCCGACCGGATCCACTCCAGGATGGAGGCATGGTTCGCTGTCAGCAGCCTAGAAGACGCATTCGTTCCTAGTTCTTCGCCGCTGCGACGCTGAAGCGACGTCACAACACTGGAGATGTTTGTTGTTCCCATCGAGTTGAACTTCCTAGAGGTCACACGAGGCGATTGGACAGAGCGTGCCACACCCGACGTCACACTCTCTCCGTCATGTAGCCCCGAAATGCGCCGGGAGCTGGAGATACGCTTATTGCGGAAGATTCCGTCCATGCTGGGTATGATGGGAGAGAGAATTGAAGGAGCCATGGCTGTTTGAGAAGTGTTGCTTGAACGTTTCGGTACACTAACTGTTGGGGGCAGTCTGGAACGTGGCAAGGTATGAGACGCTTGGCTGGTGCTTGGGGTTGAAGATATCGGAACCTGGGAAGTGAACCTTGGTCGGGCAGGCTTCGCGGGCGTTGCGTCGTCTCGTTCAGTGCAATTGCAATGGCACCGACAGCGTGAAAAGCAGCTGCGCTGGGAAAGGTCTCGAGAGGCTGTGTCTGTTCTGGTTTCGTCGTAGCAGCACCAGCAATATAGGATGCGGCGGAAAAGATTTGTTTCTCGAGAGGAGTGGTTTGTTGTTCGTTCACTGCAACAAAATATACAGTACAAGGTGCGACGCGGTATGCTTGGCTTTAGGGGAGTTGTCTCTGCAGGTTGTTCACTGTAGGGACAGCATCCACAGCAGTAGGTGCGACGGATTATAGAAGTCAGGGTGGCGGCGTGTATAATATTAAGGTGCAAGTAAAGCGAAGAGCGGACGTTGATTTGAATGTCAATTAGATTCGCAGGCTTATGCCTCGAAGAAAAGCTCTTAATGCAATTGGTAAGCACAGAGGATGCGCAAGATTTTTTTTTATTCGAATTGGGGGTGGGCATCCCCTTTATATCTGCAGAGCTCGGTGACAAACCTATGACATCCCTGTCCAAAGCTAGTCCGTCGACCGCAGATACATCATACTGCTGAACAGCGGGGCCCAGCGTGGCTGGCTGCTCAGACACTGGACATGAACAAGCGGTTATGCAATTGCACAGGGAGATCGTCAGCTCGTGCGGAGTACTCCGTAGCTCCGGTCAAGTGGTGGTAGAGTGCATTCTCCGCAGTAGCCCACGGTAAAGGGCTTTGAGTCAAGACTCCTGGCAAATGTTCAAACAGAGTAATGGAGGGCCAGGTGGAGTTGGATGCGACAGGAAGCCTTCGTATCGCGGCATCTCCGGTAGATGGGTGCTGTTACTTCGTGGGACGTGCATCTCGAGAAAGCATTGGCGCTGGTGGCGTATTCTCACGCAGCTGATTGAATGCCTGCGTCTTACTATTGAGACACCCCTGTGCTCTCAGGACATGCCGGCCCGGGAATTGTTTCCTGTCTGTTTCGGGGCGTTTGGTCCTAACCCTAATCTCGCTGTGGATCGATGCCGTAAATGTGAATGCAAGATGTCCATAGCAGTACTGCCGAGCATATGCTCCAAGCAAGTTCGAGTAGTAGGTGCGGAGCGTCGATGGTGGGTTCGTAAGTACTATGATCTAAGGATCTTCACCAGACGAACTCTCGATCGAAGCGGGGCTGGATTGGTTGGAGCAGCGAGCTTGAGCCTTGCAGCCTGGGGAATTCCACAGGGAAAGTACGTGCCTTAGCACCTACTGCTGCGGCCATTGGCCAAGCTGAAGTCGAGGCCCGCCGATTGACCTGGACTCGTAAGTCGGTTCCAGCTAAAATTGACAATCTGCAGGACGGCTGCAGGCATCTCCGGCGTTCCCGACGAGGGGCGTAAGCTGAGGATAGCACTCTTCCGCGTCTTCGCCGCCATTGTTTGACACGGACATTCCAGCAAGCATGCTGGGAGACATAAGACAACAACCGTAGTGGTTGGATGGCGAGTCGACCAGGGGTGTTGAAGGGAGGTTGTCTCCGGACCAAACTTGCAAGCTGGAGGAGTGGACGCCGTCGCGCCATTCCGGATGTGGACTAGCGTGACGTGCCCGGACACCAGCCTCCCCAGCTCTGGAATCTGCAGTTCAGCTCGCCTCATTTGCCTGTCACCTCTCAATTAGGGGTGTAATGGTGTTATTAACAATACCGTATATATAACCCCTCGTTAGAATTTTAATGTTAAAATTTTTGGTTATTAATTAAATTAGCAGGAAGCCTTTTATATTAGAACTAGCTCCTATTTAAGTAAAAAACTAAGCCTAATTAGGCTAAATTAATATTATTTAAGGATTAGGCTTTGCTAGTTAATATTAAAATCCCTAAAATATTAAGACTTTTTATATAAATACTTTATTAAATAATTACTTGTAAGGACATGCTAGTGGCTTAGGTAAGTTAATATTATTATTACTTATATTAAAAAGATTTTTAAAGCCTTAAGTAAGAATATCCCGGTGTTTTAATATAATTAAATTTTCCCTTATTATTTAATTTTAATTTATTTTATTTTTTTTAATTACTAGCTTTTTAAATTCCTTTTTTAACTCTGCCTTTATTTTATTAATTTTACTTACCTTTGTTAAAGTTAAAGCACATGTATTTATATATAAATATACTAGCTTATTTACCTTATTAATTTATAAGTAAGATTTATACTTATCTTTAAGATAGTTTAGCGTAAAAAAAATTTTTTTAGTAGCTATTAAGTTTATAGTAGTATTAAGTAAGCATAGTATAAAAGTAAAAAAATTAAGGGCAGAGCTAACCTAAAATATAAAAAGTATAAAAAGTTAGTTTTAGTTTTTATATAAAGTTATATATAAAGGTAACTTATAAACTACTACTAAAATATTATAAAATTAACTTTTTTTTAAAAATAGCTTAAATAAAAATGCTTTACCTTTACTTAATACTTTATAAAGTTTTAATAGGCATCTTTGCTAGCATACTTAAGAATAACTAAATAAATTATATTAAAAATTTTTAAAGGTATATTAACCTAATAATTCCTAGGATTTAAAAAGTAGGTAATATAATAAAAAAGTGTAATCTATTTTTAAAGGCGCTTATTTTATTTAAAGTATAATTTATTAGTAAAATACTTATTTAAATTAGTATTAAATAAAAATATTAGTGCCTTTTTAAAAATAAGTACTTAAAAATTTATTTAGTGCTTAAATACCTTTATAATATTAGCTTTCTAGCACTTAAAAAGCTTTTACACTTTATAAATAAGCTTTAAAAAAGTAAGAAAATTTTTAACTTTATTCCAGAACTTTTTTTTTTTTAAAATATTTATAGTAATTTTTTAACTAGTATTTTTTTTAGCTTTTATAATAGTAATAATATTTTTTAAATAGGTTTAGCTGCGCAGGGAATTTTAAGAGTGGTATAGTAAAATAATTAACTTATATTAAAATCCTTAGTATATTATATAAGGCATAATAAGGGCGCGCGGCTTGTGATTCTCTAGCTTTTTAATTTATAGGTTATATATAATCCTTAGCTATTTTAAAGCGCTTTAAAAATAGTAAATAACTATTAAGGCCTGTTAAAAGGTATTCTTAATTTTAAAAAATTATAAAAAATTTTTTATAACTAGTTACAGGCCATAAAAATTATAAAAAATAAAAAAATAATATTATAACTTAAGAAATACTACAAGCAACTTTTAGGTTACTTTTATTATAAAATAAGTATTAATAAAGATTAAATTAATTTTTTTTTAATTAATATTACTATTAGTAAAGCCCTTTTTATTTATAGAATACTTTTTTAAAGTTTTTTTAATTTAATTTACTTGCTTCTTGGCTCCAAACTTGCCCTTTTTAAGCTTTTTTAAAAAGTAATAAATACTCCGTGTAGGTGTATTAAAGTAAAGGTTAATAACTTATTTAATTAAAATATTAATAAACTTATTTATTAAAATATTAAAATACTTAGTATTTTAAAGCTTAGTATTTACCTTCTTGCGGGTTTTTTTATAATATTTATTAAGTAGTTAATTTTTTAGTGCTTGTTAAGTTAGCACCATAATTTTATATTTTTTAAATAGCTTTATAAAGTAGGGGTTTTTATAAATAATAAAAAAAAGGCCTTTAATATAAATAGCTATGGCAAAAAGTATTTTATTTTTATTTTTTATAAAAAGGCTAAAGCCAAGTATTTATTAGTTATTTAAAAGGTTTGCTTTAAGGTTTGTTTGGTTTTTATTAGGCTTAAAAAAGTAAATTTTTAAGTGCTTTGCCTAACAAGAAATATTATTAATATAGGTTTATTAATAGTAAATGCACCTAAAAAATTTTTAAAATAGTTAGTACAGCCTTAATTTTTAAAATAATAAAAAATATTATTTTTTTTTACTAGGGATTTTATTTTAAAATAATCTAGCCTAAGTATAATTATTATTTATTATAATAGTAGTAAATAAAAAAGTTTTTCCTGCCAAGCGTTGTTTAAAGTATGTGTTAAAATTAATAAAAAATATATATTTTAAAGTAATAAGGTGTAGTATACTAGGATTATATTATAAATTTTTACTAAAAATTATAGTAAAGCCACCTTAATTTTTAGCTAGTTTTATTAGCTAACTAGCTAAGCTACTAGCCTTTAATTAGCTAACTAAGAACCCACCTGGTTATATAATATAAAAGTCTAACTAACCGCATAATCCTGGTAATACCTTGATTACCATCAGGGCCCTGACTTTAACATCAGAGTTACACCCCTACTCTCAATTGCTCCGTTGCCGATGTGATGTGTCCAATCACATTATTACCGAGGCCTGCTCATGATATTATTTGGAAATATACTATGCACTTCTCGCTCAGCCCCGGTCTCTGGAACCGTCTCGCCTGCGAACACTCGCGGTAGTCGGCACGAACAGCCTACGTCGAACCTCGCTAGATAAACCCCGCTATCGCCAGAACCATCGGATATTCAATTCGTGTTTGTCCGGAGTGCCTAAGAACATCTTTCTAATTAGTCGGATGAGTGCCTACTCTCTGACGGCGGCTGTCTCAGCCAGGGAACAATGGCTGCGCCAAAATGTTCCCGAGGTATGCGATTTTCTTCTGTCCTGCTCTGTCTGAAACCCATGGATTGCTAACATCAATCTATCTCGATTTCCAGAGATCAGCCGGGCGATAGACCGATCTGTTCCGTCAATGCTGGATTGCTGGAACCGCGCTCATGGCTCCGGCCCCACTCAGGATCGGATCGTTGATATGATGGATGTCGCGGACTCACGGTCCTCTCGCCTACCGCGGTCGGTGCACTTCTGGCTACAGGCGTCGCTAGCTTAGCGCTATCAGAAGATATTTTTGCGTCCTA